GTGATGCAATTTTCCCATTGATCTGGGCCTCATCATTTCATTAGACAGAATCACTCTTGTATTTTAGGATTGCTCTTTTAGGAAACAGGTTCATTATCTGGACTAGCTGTTGCTCCTCTTATTGATAAATTCTCTTTCTGTAATAAGATGTGTATCTGTTGTCTTTTTTATCAGCTGCCCCTAAATGACAATGAGGATATATTTGGGTGGTGGGTTGAGCGGGAAGTTGGTTATCTTTTTCTCCTTAATAAGTGCAGGTGAGTCAGTCACCCAAGATTTCAAATTGGTCCTTGTTTTTAAAGACCACTAGGTACAGATGTATTTTTTTTTTGAAACGGAGTCTCGCTCTGTCACCCAGGCTGGAGTGCAGTGGCCGGATCTCAGCTCATTGCAAGCTCCGCCTCCCGGTTTTACGCCATTCTCCTGCCTCAGCCTCCCGAGTAGCTGGGACTACAGGCGCCCGCCACCTCGCCCGGCTAGTTTTTGGTATTTTTTAGTAGAGACGGGGTTTCATCGTGTTAGCCAGGATGGTCTTGATCTCCTGACCTCGTGATCCGCCCGTCTTGGCTTAGCACTCACACATGAATTTCCCAGAGTTATCTGGGAAAACCTTTTGGTGAAGCATTTTTTTTTTCAATGGAAGTGCTGGCAGTTGCACTTAGCCCAACAAGAAACACTACACAAAATGTCTCTCTTGGGAGATGTCCTGCTGCTTCTAAACCTTGTGTTGGGCCTGTGAAATACTCGGAACTGCTCAGAGTAGAAACGTAATGCAAACACTGTGTAGTGATAGTGTCAATTATGCTGTTTTTGCAGCTGAAAACTAGAAGTGTTTAAGGTGAGGTTCAGCTGAGATTCATTGAACAGAGAAGGGTCACATAGCCTGGCTGTGAACCACATCCAAGTGTGGCCATGGCAGGCAAGATGACAAGTTCATAACAATAATGGTATGCAATAATATACTGATGTTATGACACACAGCATACATGTAAACTATTATAAAAATCATGTGATTTTCCTGGTGTGTTATTTTTCTGTTTACCTTTGAAAGAATGGGTAAAAGTTAGGCCTTTGGAACCTGCAGAACAAATTAAGACTCAGGAATCTTCTGAATGTTATGGTAAACAAAAGTCAACAGAGTCGAGAAAGAGTGTGTGTACAAAGTGTGTGTAACGATGAGGACGCAACGTGCCATACTTGGCTTTTTGATCCAGTTGTCAAAGAACTTCCTGACAAATAGATGTGTGTGTGTATCCATTAGGAAATAGTGTTATATGGTGATTGATAGCATAAGTTATATAGCCAAGTCCAGCTGGCTTGAATTCTAGTTCTACTTACTACCTGTGTATTTGAGTTACTGTGTGTAACTCATAGCCTCAATTTTGTTGTCTGTGAAACAGGAATAAGAATGTTACCCACATCATATGATTTTCAATATCATGCAACAGTGAGGTACATAAAACATACAGTGCCTGGCCATGGCCAAGTGCTCACTGAATGTTGGTTATTACTATGAGTTCAGCAAAGGATGCAAAACTAGAAATGATTACATATATAGAACTCCCCAGAAAGTCATGTTCATTTCATTGGTTTGAAAGGTCATAGATGGCTACCCGTATCTCGTAGGTGTTTATAAATGTTACTCTCTTCATGTATATTTTTGTTTAAGGGCATTTGTTAATAATTCCAGGAAGAAATTTGAGGGGTGTGTAGCATAACTACATGTGATTTATTGTAGGGCGGTGGTCACGAGACTCAGGATTGGGAGATGTTCTTTTCTCCAGGTGGGTTAGACTTTTGATCTCTCAATAGTTGCTTGCTTCAAATCTCTTGTTGCACAAGTCTGTCTATTCTTGGAGATCAGAGAGGTCTCGGTTTTCAGAGGCCATTGGAGTTTGGGTCCAAGATACTTGGCAGGGAGGAATAGGTATTAGCGAGTCCTAAATTATGGTTGTGGACTGTGGAGTTCCCTGCAGAGAGCACTCAGCCTTCTCTCTCTGCATTTACTTTATAAATGGTTTACGAGATCTCTCATAGTTTGACTTAGTCTTTACTTCTGCATCATCCCTGTGAGTATAAATACAAATGAAAAGTAAGATGTGAATCAGACGTATCCATAAACAAGAGTCGTCTCTGGATTCTAACAATAAATAAACCATAATGTCCAGCAAAATTAACCTATGGCTGTTTCTTGAGCTAATTATCTTCCCACAGATAGAAACACTACTGATTCCAGGTCCACTGGTTTTTCAGTTTGTCTTCCTTACTTTATTTTGGTGAAATTCAGGAAATTTTCAAATTAGATCATTTCTGAAGTTGTGCATTACCAAATATCAGAGTAAAACCATCCAAATACCTTCTCTTTCCATGTGTAGTTCCAATTTCCTGAAGCTAATTTCTTCCTTCTAATTACAAGCACTCCAAGAACTAGGTTTTGCTACTCAGCATGAGAACAAGTAACTCTTATTTCTTCAGTCTGAGTTTGAATGCAGGAGGCTTCCTGAATCTGCCAGAATACAGGTGCTTAAGGTATAAGATCAATATAAATGTTCCCTGTTCTATTACGAAAATTAAATGTTTAGTGCTAAGGTTAACTAGGGAAAACGTAGATCTCCCAATGATCAGAATTTCTTGCTTGATATATCTGAAGGAATCTTGCCCTGGTGACAGGTAACATGAGACATTGACTTCTTTTCTTATTTTCTCCTCCCTAAAGGGGGGTTAAGTTTAAGGAGTTAAAACGTGGAAGTTCTAACTAGGTGTCAAATGTTGTTTTAAAATTACTAGGTTGATGTAGGTATTTTCATCAAATCCAAGTGTACTCTTTGGTGTCTCACTGTTTACTCATGACAAAATGAAAACATATATGTTCATTTGGGAGGATTCTGCTTTACCATAAATAAGTGGCTAGAATGCCTTTCTGGACCAAGCTTCCTTGTCATTTTTACCCTTCACCCTAATAACTAGGACATACCATCTTAGCAGAGCTAGAACATCTTATGTTGAGACTGGCATTCAAGATTATCCCTTGACTTACTTTCTGATTTCCCTGACAGTAGTGCATTGAGTCTACTGAAGGATCATGCGAATGAATTTAGTGTTAGTCAGCAAAGGGTCAAATCATGCAATTGGTTTTAGAAGCAAAACGTTCTGCCCCCCTGGATTCCACCAAACAGCCTCCCTCCCTTTCTTGAAAGTTTCTTGCTTTATCAGGTTCTAAAATTGATTCCTAACAAGTGCTGTAACCTAAGAAAACAAGAATAATTCTGTTTTCATCGTTCTCATAGTTTTAAAGTTTATATAGTTGGGATTTAATTTCCACAATAAAAGTTCTTTTGTTAATATCACTTTACCAAGTAGTCTAGATCCAGTCTTACCCGCTTGGGAAACTTTAAAAAATGGCAGGACTCAGTCTCCTTTTATTTTTAATCTGAGACCATAACAGAAAAAGGGTCAGAACTCAATAGTACTTTTCTTTCCCCATTTCTTTCATATTCAAGCCACCAAATAAGAGCTGTGGCTGCAAATTTTAGCAAAATGCTTTGCTATCTACCACTTCTTAATGGCTTATTATGCACCAGGCACAAGGTTAAGTACTTGGCATTATTTTAACTGATTCAATCAGTATAACGATATAAAGCAGATACTAGCATCCATGTTCTAAGTGGGGATACTAAGACTTTGAGAGGTTAATTTCACATAGATAGAAAATGAAGGGGTCAGAATCTGATCACTAGACCCCTTCTTACTAGAAGGCCACCGTGACCACCCTAAGAAGCATAGATGTGGTGCGTATGATGGGGGAAAAAATGTAGTATAAAGTGAAGAAACATACAGCCCCTATCATGAAAAATTAGGCACAATTAAGATACTAAGTTCTCCCTCTGCCTGGAAGACCCCAATATCCATACACCTATAAAAGAGAGTGCAGAAAGACTACCTCAAGGGCCATCACACCTCAAGGCAGGTAGTGAGTAATTTTCTCCTCTTCCCTTAATGTTCTCTCCCATCCTTTGCAAATATTTCTGCTGAAGTGAAGGTGGCTGGTGAGAAATAAATAAAATGGCTGCACACGCTGCTTGAAAATTGTCATATTTCTTAGTTAAGGAAAAGATCAGCACACCTCAGAATTCAAGACTGAATCAAATAAGCATCCTGATTAGAATTGCATGCATGCCCTGAGTCAAATGCCTTCGAGTATATACATAGTCAATGAAAGGGAATAAAAGTCTGTGTGTATGTGCTTGGATTTGTTTTCTGTGTGATTACGATTAGCATTGCAGTTCTCCAATGAAAGTATCTCCTGCTCAGTAGTCTCTTTTGTGTTCTTCAGCGCTAGTAGCCATAAGAACTAGGTATCTAATAACACAGTATAACAACTACCCATTGCAAATTAAGAATGCCCTTATAACTGTCTGTGCCTTGGAGCCCAGCTTTGGGTTCTGTACCATATTCTCTTCCTTAAAAATGCTGACAATTGGGATGCTGTTTCGTTGAGATTTTTCCATATCCCACATATGTATGCATAGAAGGTTCAACATTGCTGAGTTCTTTTGGTTAATTGCAACTCAGTTACTGAACTATTCAATGATTAAAGAAGAAACGTTCCAGAGGCCTTCTGTTTTGATTCTAGCTTACTGTAATCTTCTGATGATGATGCCAGCTTTTATACAAAGGACGACAGCACCATAGTGGGCAGCCATTTTGTTGAGGAAACTGGAAACGCTCACCCTTTTAAAAACCTAAGCTACCCTGACTACAGTCTTATTATTTCTTCAGTTTAAGGTTACATTTTCTGCCTCCCACAGACTAATGTCACTTCTCCATGTTGAGAACAAGAGCGACATTTGGCATTTGGTTATCCCAAACCCAAATCTCTGACCCTTTGTTTTTAGTACTTTGCCATTTTGATTTTGCTTTTTTAATTTGCTTGTGACTCTCTGCTTCCCCCATCTTTTTTTTTTTTTTGGTACAATGATTCTTACCTTGTCTTTCCCCAGTCCGTTTCTGACCTGGAGAGACGTACAGCATGTTATTGTCAGGACTTCCCGTGCGGGACATTTGAACGCTAATGACTGGAAAACCAATGCTGCTGGTTTTAAGGGTGAGAACTTCTTTCATATTCTGTCACAGGCAAAATATTTTTATTTTTCCCCCATTTTAAACGGAGAGCAGGAAATAGAACCCCTCAAACAAAACTTTAAATTTTGTGCTGACACACAAAGAGCTTGATCTTTTAGTAAATAAAAGGCAGGTTGATTTTTTTAAGTTAAAACTATACAGATAAGTGAGATTTCTTTGGCTTCCCACATCATAGGTCAATTTTTTTTAAAAGATCGACCAACTCCCATGTATAGTCGACCTATGGGACCCCTGATTCGTTTACTATTTGCTGTCATTGAGTATCTAAGTGATATTTATAATAATGTATTTTAAAATTCCTCACCTTCTATAGGACTACTTCCACTTCAATAGTAACTGATATATATTGTTCACTTTAGTGTAGCACTGTTAGTTGCTAAGGCCATGCATTCTACAAATTTTGCTTTTGTTTGTTTTAAATTTTCCACAAAGAAAAGCAGGTAATAATTCTAAGAAATGTTACTTTATATAGACTAAAAATTCTGATGAAGCTTTATAATGTCCAGTCCTTATGCAATTGTGCACAGTATGTAACAAGTACTGAAGATTTTCCCATGGCTAATACGGATCATAGTTCCCAAAGTCTTATTAACAGTAGCTATTCTGTTTATTGTCATAGGTAATATATGTTATAATAAAAATAAAATGGCCATATAAAACATATATCCTAAAGTTTAGTATATTTACTCAAGTTGTAAGTGACCTAAGTTATAATAAAGTTTTAATTCAGTAATCTAACTTATAACAAAGATTAATTTGTTTATATCTACAGACTTAAAACGTATTCCCAAATAATCTTAGTATCATCATATATCTGTATGGATGAAATACAGTGTTCCATAGCACAGGGCACATCTACTTAAAAATTGAGGTTCTGATGGTCAGACCATTGGTAACATGGTCCTGAGCAAGTCATTTAATTTTTAAGGGCCCTAATAATTTAAGCATTTTGGATGCTAAGTAATATTATCTACATATCATATCTTACATATGATCTTAATATATCCTTATATATGACCAATATATGCAAATATTTCTACCAGAATGTATATTTTTAAAATTACTTGTAAATAATTTATTATAGACTCATGCTGAAACAAAACCTATAAATATCCTGGATTACCAGTGCCACATTAAGAATTCTTTGATTAATATCTTCACAGAAGGCTTCACTCTATTTTTAGGAAAAGAATATGTCCCTGCTTTGGAGTATTATCAAATACCTTTCCATGCATGTAAACTATATAATGCAGCAGTTTTCAATGAACTTTTAATCTAGAATTGTAAATACCTGTTGGCATTGCATTCTCTGAAGCCCAAATCAGGAGATTTGATCCCAAAATTGTAATTGTATGGGCAACATCAAAATTATTAGAAATTTCAGTTGTTCCAGAAAATCCAGGATGTAATTTGCCATATGTATGTTTCGTTTTGATTAGCTTCCACATGCTCCCAACTCCTACAATATAAATCCATGAGGCTGCAGGGGAGAGAAGGAGCTGACACATAACCTTGGCTGATTGAAAGCTGGAATGAACTTCTTAGTAGAGGGATCACAGACTAAGGACATTAACCTCCATGAAGTTGAGGAAACTTTAACCCAAATAAATGTCTTAGTTTTACTTATTATTCTTTGGCAATTTAAAAAGAGCAAATAGTTCTAACAAAAATGCAGCTCTTTTGAAAACCTCTGTTGGTTTAGGAGAGGGGGAAACAGAGGATTTAGACTAAATCACCAGACCCAAACCTGAATTTGAAGAGGGTTGTGCACTGCTTCTGGCAAGGAGGAAATGGTGTTTTACTATTGCACGTGGCAATATTTAGTATAATATTTCACTCTTCTCTTAGATGGCTGCCAAGAGTAACAATTAAAGTTCACTTTTTCACAGATGAATTATTCTGAATGGGCTGGGCTCCCAGTGGGATTGTTTTGTAATTTTGTTGATGGCAAGTCCCATATTTCATCTAAACAGGATCATAATAAGATGACTTTAAAAAAAAAAAGAGTTATTTTCTTCTCTGCTCTAAACATTACCATCCCCTCCCTAGAGTCCCACAAATAAATGTGATTAAGGCAGAGGCTAGCAGGAGAAGCAACATGCTTTGGGGAAGTGGAGAATGCAGGGTACTAGGACTGCAGAAGGATGCTATGACTTTTTATGAAATAACATCTGAAAGAACAAAAAAGAGCTAAGGCTTAGAAAAGGTTCCTACACCAAGAGCTCAACAAGGGCTTGTATTTAAATTAGGTCGGCCGGCTTTCGCAGGTCTTGCTTAGCAGGAATCCATAGTCATCTATTTCTCCTTAGACTGGGAAAACGGAAATTGCCTGCCTACAGAAATGTATGGTCCTGGGTGCCCTTCTTTATCCCACCCAACTCTGTCCTAACACTGAGTGAAATATATGCATGAAATGAATCTGAAAACTCCTGTTCTTCCTTGGGCTTGCTTTTGTGTCCCAGTGTTGAGTAATTTATTAATAACTTGTTGGAAGAGTAGTTTAAAAAAAAATAGAACAATTTCACAAATTGCTCAATTGCCAGTAATAGGGACATCAATGTACCCCATCAGAATTTCTTTCTCATCAGGTAAGGCAGAAGCCACTTAGGGTAGCAAACAACTCAGTTTTGGAGTTCAGACATCACTAGACTTCATAGTCTTTGTTATCACTGATAACTTCAGTAAAGCCAACACCCCAAAGAACAGTCTCTACCAAAATCCTACCAAATCCATTTTATCCAACCTCCTTACATTTCTTCAGACATACCCCATGTCCTACATCCTAGGCAGACAGCAGCACTAGATGATGTTTGAGCTAGACTTGTGTGCGGCCCTCCTGAAGGCAGACTTGATCCATTCTTACCCACATGTGTTATGGACTGGAACAGGGAAGGTTTCTCATTCTGAAGCAGCTGCTGGCTTGGACAGAGTCTCATTCAGGCTAGGAAGTTGGCCTTGAACAACTAAAGAATGTAGCTTTCTGATGACTCATCTCTGTTTCTCGGAGAGTGGGATTACCCTGGAGGTGCTCACTGATGAGCTAGGGACAGAGAACTTTCTTCTCCTTTTTCTGTGCCCTCCTTATAAAAGCACTCTGTAAATGACCCTATCATGAGATGACCTCACAGGGAAGCCACATGTAAACATTCTTATGCTAATAGCACCTTAATTTTCAACAATTTTAATCAAACTAAGATTATTCTGCCCTGCTGCTTCTTAAATAATAATAATAATCTCTTATAGTATAATTAAAATATCTTTTCCAATAGATTAGTTTTTCAGAATAAACATAATCCGATGAATACATACCTATGGAAACTGACTAAACATTGTTTTGCTTTGTTCATCTTGTGAATAATCCTAGCTAAGTTTCAGACAACAGCTTTTGACTTTAAACCTCCTCCAGAGATAGTTTTTTTAAATTAAATGGAATAAAGATCATGTACCTATCAGAGAATCTACTTTAGATTGCCCATGAGAATAGGGAATTATTTGCCTTAGACCAGATGAACAGATGTGATATTCTGCCACCAGAGAACTGGAATCCAAATTCCAGTATTTTGCTTCTGACCAGTATTTGCAACGCCAGGAGGTGACTTTGGCACTAAGCTGTTTGGGGTTTTGTTAATATTATTTCTTTCCTCTCTTGATCCCTTCCCTTTCTGCTTATGAAAAGTCTTTTCTGTTTTGTTTTGTTTTCTATTCTTTTTAATTTTCCCTCGTGTTCCCTAAAGCATATGAATTAGCCATAAAAGTGAAGGCTGTTGCCATTCCAGCTGGTTTTTCTTCCTGAAATTTAATGGATGTTGTCTCTTCATTTATCTATTTCCCAATATTTCCTGAGCACCTTCAGCATGCCCACCCAACACATGTTGAAGTGAGCACAGAAAGTGGGAGGGGAAGAAACGTCAGGGACACCATGGCATGGACTAATCTGACCTGCCCTGGTGTAACTTACATACAGAAACAGAAATGTACACTCCATCTCTTTTTTTCTTTAGTCAAGCCCAAACAATCTGTCAGGTCATGTTAGATAAGTGATGATGATCCTTCTCTCATCATCTAAAATTCAGGTTAATGTCGGCAGCAGAAGGCATCTGCTATAGAGAATATCTTTGTCTGCTGTGTATTTTGACCAGCTCCATTTGGGCATATAGTATATGCAGATCCACAGAGCCGTGCGGAAGACTTCAATGCAGGCATTTTTCATAACCTGTGGCTTATCATCATTTCAGGAAGAAGTGAGCTCTGTGTCTTGTGATCTCCGCCCTTTTACTGCTGTAATCTGAGGAAACTGTAAATCCACTGACCTCTCCCACCAGTGCCTGGGCTGTGCGGGCTGATTCTTGCCCCGAGTCCTTATCTTTGGTTTGGGTGTGCAGTTATAATTATAATTGAATGCATGCAACATCAGTGATCTAGTTTTCTTTTTTTCAAAGTGTTTATATTGGATTATATGACTGTATACAGTTATACTCTCTTAAATCTAGGAACAGGAATAGACGTCAGATAATAAATTAGGACCTTCTGTCATCTTTACTAGGCGAAAGAATGAAAAAAATGTCATTGAAAATCAAAAAATGACAACTAAGTGAGAGAGGTTACCACGCCTTCCATTTCACTGCCCTCCCAGACTATGTAAGTCTCTTTTTTTCTACCAGCATGTTGCTGAAACCTCCCCCATCCCCACTGACTCTTTCTTTGACCACAACTAAACTACTAGATTCTTTTTTTTTTAATTTCTAACTGATTACCCACCGTGGGGAAAACAATTGACAGTCTAACATGACTTCTTAGCCTCCGAGGCCTTAACTTTTAATAACCTGTATTACTTTTAATTGCCATCATTTTATTTCCACTGGTAGGGTTGATAATTTTAAGATGTCCAATATATTTTTAATACCTACCTGTCTTGTTTTCAGTTTGTAACACTTATTAAAAAGAATTGAAAGTGCTGAAACC